AAGTTCAAGTCCACGCTGGGCAATTTAGTGATGTTGTGAGAATCTGTCTCAAAATAAAAATGGCTGGAGACATATCTTGGTGTGAAGGACCTGGGTTCAATCAATCACCAGTTCAACAAAACAACAACAACAACAACAAACCCTGAAAAGAAAAACCTTAATGAGAATCGCATCGCATAGATATTTTCCCCTTTGGGACAATTGAAGCACTGCTGTGTTTACCACGGTTCCAAAGGTGAAAAGTTTGAGACTTCAGGTGAAGAAGGAATTGAAACACAGGGACGAAGATGGGTGGATGCCAGGGCACCTCCAGCAATGCTGGTCCCGCCTAGACATCTTACCTGTCCTCCAGCACCATGAGACTCTATACAAGGACCCACATCCTCAAAGAGCGCTCACCCAGGGTCAGCAAGGCGGCAGGAGCTCTGCAGAGTCCTGCAGGAAGCTCCTCACCTCCCGGACGGCGAAGGCAGCAGCACAACCCTGCACCTCCTGCCTCTGGCAGGGGAGCAAAATGGCAGACGTCTGTGGCCAACAAGGGCTGTCATGTTAGAGCTCTCCTCACTCCTGGGGGCAGGCTTCAAGCGCTCAACTGAGGTGTTTCACCTGAAGTCTAACTGCCTGCAGAAGGGTGGTAGTCTCTGGGTTGCTGTTGTATCGAGTGCTCGTTGAGTCAGTGGCAAAACAAGGGGGGAAAAGGAAGCTTCTCGATGCACTGCTGTCTACCTCAGAGCACCTTTTACAAGGAATATCCTGAGTCTAATCATCTGACTGAAAATATTTGCCTGTCAGAATACCTAGTACTTTACAGGAGGAAGAAAACTCATATAGTGTTTCTGGTAAGACGAGTGATATAGAGTGATATACTTCTGTTTCTGTTAGAAGTAGAATTGCAATTGAATAAACTGTGAGCTAGTTTTGTAAAACCATTAAGAGCAGACCCTTCCCCACTACCAGGCTTAAGCAGATGGTGGTCAAAGAGGTTTAGTAGGAAGTATACATTGTGTTCTTGGTTTTCATTATACAGCAGAACATTAATATTTGTTTCCAGCATTGTAACTATATCACACCATTGTTGTGTTTGTACGGTACCATTGTACAGGAAAGAGTTCACACAGCAGGCTTGAAACTATCGTTAGAAAGCCCTTGCAAGGCTGATCCTTGGCTACCATCTAGGAACTTAACTTTTGGGAGAGATCATTCCTAGAACTGATAAAAGTAGCTTGCTGTGCCCAAAGTGTTTTGAAAACAGTTTGTTAATACTGAACATCTTTCTTCCTTTCTAGGCTTGGAACTCTGGTACATGCAAGACAGGATGCTTACATGAGCTGCCCCTGACAAAAGCCCTGGCCACAGAGTTTCTAAAAGCTTCCCTGGAGATGACAGTTCACACATCATCGTTCACTGTGAAGGAATTAAGCTCTGTCCTGGCTGGTGCTATGAGGAGAGGACTTGGAAGCTTGTACATATATCAGACATCCTTCCAGGAACCTTTTTGTTTTGCAGACTTTGCTTTGTATCGTTTGGTTGTAATAAACCAGCCACATGTATCACTATACACTGAGTCCCGAGTCCCCCTGTGGATCACTGAGCCTGGCAGTGGTCTTGGAAACTCCTACCAGTTATCTAGAAATAAAACTGCATTGAGTAAGCCCATAGGATTGGAAAAAAAATTGGCCCCTCGCTCTGCAAAAAGTTAGTGCTTCCTTTCATACGCCAGATGGGTCCTTCTTGTAGGGATCCAAATCACACTGAGTACTGCATTGTTCTTGTAGATAAACACAAACTGCAAATGCTATCAGCACTGAAAATGAACCTCAAAATCCTCCAACATAATTTATTCATCTTTTTGGAGCTTGAGGCCATTCTTTTAAGTGAAATAAATAGGATACACATTTAAATACCACATTGTTTCTTTGGTGTGAGAAACTGAAAATGGAAATAAGGACTAAAATGTATAATAGATATTGGGAAATGGGAAGAAAATGTTCAAATGAGAAGGGGAACAAGGGAGGAGGGAGGGAGAAAGGAAGGGACAAGAAAAAAAAAGAAAATATAAGGAAAAATGGAAACAAAGCTTTCATATATAGAGAGGGGAGGGGGCTTGAGAGGAGGGGGCATAGGAAAAAAGGGGTGGGGTGCACCATGTACAGGTGCAAGTTCCCTCTGATGAGTGTTATTGCGTATGCCTAAAATGTACCAATAAATATTATGCTATAAGATATATTCATCTTTGTACTATATGGATAAATGTCTTATCATCCTCATTTCCCCGAAGGTGGAAAAGGTATTCACCATGCTTTAGAATTTTAAATCACGAGGTAGACTGGTAGACTCCAGGTAATGGGAAGCAGTATGCAGCCCTAAAAGTGCCCTGTGTTTGGTACAGCAAACCCCTCTGTTACCTGGAGAGAGGCCAAGTATAAACTGGGTGAGCAGGGAGCTACCTGTGGAAAAGAAAGTGAAGTCAGAGGCTTCGAATGGCAAGTCGGGAAATCTGGACTCAAACGGGTTAGATTATAGCTTCAATAGGTTACTCATATTATGACCTTTGAGGTTAGGGACGGACTCAAGTCACACCGGGTCTAAGCGAGCAGGAGCCCTTGCAGATCGCAGGGTGGCGTCATTCCCCGCAGACTGGAGGAAGATGCGGGCGTCCTACTCAAAACCAGGCAGACACAGCACAGCACTGAGGGAGCAGGAAGAAAAGGAGCCTGAAGATCAGCCCAGATCCCCAGAAATCAGAAGAGTGGTGGAAACACAGATGCCCATATACGGGGCGTCCCGGCTGCAGGCCGCGCAGCAGTTCTTCGCGTGTGGCCAAAATCTAGGCTTTCACCTGCGCGACGATCGTCCTTAACCTTGAACGCAGTTGTACAAATGGGTATTTTGGGTTCAGCAGGGTTTTCGCAGCCTTTGTTTTTCTGGTACAGCTAGTTGTGTCAATAAACACTACCCTTTTGCATCCATCCAGAAAGCCGACAGCCGGACCTTATTCACAACACCCGTTACCTGGTAGGGCGACCCGGAAGCTGCCCATCCACCCCGGCTCCCACTGCCCGAGGCCTGGCTTCTTGAACGCCACTGCGCATGCCTGCCCGCGGCCGCGCCGGAAGCGACGTTACGTGCGCTCTTCCGATAACGATGCTGGCTTTACGAGGAGCCAGCTTCGCGCGGGGCCTGGGGGCCGTGGCCCCAGTCTGGATATGGGGCTCGCG